CTCAGGGCTATGATTTCACTGATCGATTTAATCCATCTGTAATGTGGTCTTCCTCATTTCGTCTCTTCCTACTGTCTTCCCCTTTACTGAGCATTCTTGTCTTTTCTAATGAATGATGTCTTGTCATGATATGCTCAAAGTACAACAGCCTCAATTTAGTCATCTTGCTTTCTAGGAAGAGTTCAGATCAGATCTAGTGCTCATTTATCTTTTTGGCAGTCTAAGGTATCCATTGCAAATCCCTTACTTATCACATGCCAAAACAAATGGTTTTCTTCCTTATTTTCAGAACAGGTTTGCAACCTTACAGACATTAATCCATACATACAAAACCATAAAATTATGAAGCTGATGTAAAAATTGCAGGAGAAAGTTGCTTGGAAACGTTATGGTCACCAGCCAATCAGTGCTGACACACCCAGCTTCTGCTAAAAATTTGGTATTTTTAAACAGAAAATTGGTCCTCCAATACTTCATTTAGAGTGAATACTGTAAATCAAGTCTAAAGTATCCCCTGATTTTGAAATGTTTTATGTTCTTTTTGCCTTTATCCAAAGTTAGCAGTAAAGCAGAGCCAGCTATTTTAAGTGTGGATCTCCACTATTGTTATGTGAGTACAACTGTGACTTTGGTGCTTAGGATAATGGGATCTATAGCACTACACATCTAAAAAATATCAATTTGAGAAAGGTTGATATATTACATTATTCACTATTCTTTTGCAGATGGCACTGTCCAACTTTGGCAATTCTTCCTGTGAATAAAAAAAACTGAAACATGCAGGAAACCACAAACTTCTGGTTTTTTTTTAGTATAGTACTGCAAGTGAGATTAGCATTGAAGTACTGATTGGTTTAATTTAATTCTCCTACCTCTCTGAGGGTGACTTATGACAAGGTTAAAACAAAATACATCTGAATACCTTATCATCAAATGTATGTGTGTGTGTGTGGGGGGGGGGGGGGGGGAATTACCCATCATGTTTATCCTGTATAAAAGCATTTTAAAAGCATTATACCAATAAAACATCAACATACATACCCTTTGAAAAAAACCCTTCTGCTGTATAACCAGGTAACTCACCAAATGCCTACTAGTATTTAAATAAAATGAGCTTTACCTGTTGGTGGAAGCAAGGCAATGAGGGTATGGGCGTAGCCTTCTTTGAGGATTTCAGAGTATGAGAGCAGCCACTAAAAAGACCCTATCACATGTCCTCAGCAGATGGGCTTGTGTCAGTGGTGAGACCAAGATAAATCTTGTATATTTGTCCATGCTGACTTCAAATCAAGTGCTGGATGTTATTTCTTTCATATTGCCTTTATTGTGCTCTTGTACCTTGGAATCTCTTAGGTTTTTTTTGTTAAAAAAGGACTATTCTGGGCCTAAAACATTCGGGGGGGGGGGAGGTGTAAAATATGCCCACAAGGATCTTAGAGGGCATTTAGAATACATTATTTGGTCTCTGGGGTCAATGAGGGCCTCAAAATGTCTTGTGGACATTGTACACATTCCCTGAGCCACACTCCTGCCCACTTAAATGGCCTCCTGAAAGTGAAACCAATAATTTAGTCCCAAAGTTTACTTATTCTCCTCCTCCCCCTCCATCTCTCAGTCCCTTTGTTTTGTGCCTTTTGCATTATAACCCTACAGGCAAGAACGGTGTGATTTTTGACATCTGTGAGGCTCTCAGGGAGACTTTTGGAATGAACAATGGGTTAAAAATCTGAGAAATGTGGTAAATAAACACTCTAGACCCAGGGCTTCTTCATTCTCATCAGGGAAAAGCAAATAATGGTCTGTGAGCTTCATTTGGACCCCATTTCCGTGATTTCTGAAGCCCCCTACTTGTTTCCCAAAGTGCTTAATACATAAAACTACCAAGAAAGCCCCCCAAATGCATGGAAACACAAAAAAATACTCCCACTCCCACATTCAGTCCAGGACCTGTGGCACACTCTATAACTACGGTACATTTTCCTCTGCAGTCTCAAAACGGCAGCAGCAAATATTGTCCCATCCATTGTTATTTTGAGAGACTGTAAAGGGAAATGAAGGCATTTCCACTTGCTGTTGCAGTGCAATCTGCAATGGGAGAGTCTGGGGTGTAAATTGTTCGCTGTTCCTCACACAGTTGTCAACCTCAGATGCATACATGCATGAAATAGTTCAGAGAAGAGTATTAAACTAATTTAATTTCCAAGTGAGTTATTGAGAAAGACATCATTAGCAATTATGATCTCAGATAAGACATTCTGTCTTCTTTCTACTTTGGGAAGCTCACTGGGATGATTTCATTAGTCTGGTACTGGCACAAAATGTACTTTGCCAACTGCCAGAAGAAAAAGAGGAGCAGTGATTCTGGACATCATATGGAGGTGAATTGCAGCAGCTGTGTGACTCCAAAATCCAAGAATGGCATCCAAAACTTTGTACCATCCAGACACTGTCCCATGCAAATTCAGAACAATGTTTTATTATTTTTTCAGTGACTATGCAAGAAAAGGAAGCAAAGCAAAAAAAGGAGGAGAGAGTATTTTCGTCTCTGTTAAATTATGGACACCTGCTTGACCCAGATCTTGTTGCATGTAAAGCATCTTCCAGCAGCATTTCAGGAGACTGACACAAAGTGGAGCTAGAGAGAAAGAAGAGCATGAATATTAAGCAGCCTGTGGCCTAAATCCAGTTGTTAATTCCAAGTAAAGTAGACCCACTGAATCAATGGAGATTCAGCAGTTTTATTTTTAGCCAGGACTAAGTACTGGATCAGGACTAAATTTCAAAGAGTAACATAAAATTAGAGCTCAATATAGATATTACTTCCTTGATTCATTCTTATCCAGACTTTCCTCCATGGAGTTCAGGACAGAATAAATAGTTCCCCTATACTTTGCCTTGTAGAACCTAGAAGAAGTGAGGTGAACTGACCTGACACTGGCATGGCACAAAGACTCAAACTGCCCATGCCCTATGACTGACATTTTCATGAACAGCAAAACTGAGGGCTTTTTCTATAGCGGTAGCACTTGTGACTTTAGAACTTTAACACAACAACTTAAAGTTCTGCACTTGAGAAAGCATTCACAGGAGCTGTTTTAAAGTTCAGACTAGTACACATACTCACACAATTAAGGAAGGGCCAGCAAATCCAAGTGAGTCTAAATCTTTGAAAAGAACACAACTGATGAGGTCACTATTTTGAATCTGAATTACCAGAAATTATATTTCATCCTTCCTGGCCATTTCAGGGAGCTTTTGGGCATGTCTTCCCCACTGGGTGGTTGTAGGTTTTTGGATTTTGTGGCCATGTTCTAGAAGCATTCTTTCCTGACGTTTCACCTGCATCTGTGGCAAGCATCCTCAGAGGTTGTGAGATTTGTTGGAAACTGGAAATTGGTTTTATATATCTTTTGAAGGTCCCGGGTGGGAGAAAGAACTCTTCTAAAAAGAATGCTTCTAGAGCATGGCTATACAATCCAAAAAACATACAACAGCCCAGTGATTCTGGCCATGAAAGACTTCGACAATACGTTTCCCCACTGTTTTTAAATTGGTCCCCCAGAAGTGTGTTTTGTGTTTTTGTGTGGTTCCAGATGATTTCCAGTCTTGTTTTGTGGGGATGCTACTGGTTTGAATATGGGAGGAAAAGACCACGTATAGTCCATGGCCAACATGATTTCTAGCTCTGCTTTTCAAGTTAAAAATCACCCATTACGCTGGAGTGAAAAATGCATTTTCAGTTAGTGTAATTGGTATCCCATGTAAAGCCACCAAGACATTTGTTCCATTTGAGAATTCTAATTGGGTCTATCTTCATTTTCTTTCAAAAGTATTAATCTACACATGACTTAATAGGTTTCTAGATTATAATATTATAAAGTTGCAGTAACAGGTTTAATCATGTGAAATCCATGGAATACAAGTGTTTTTTCTTGAGTCATTGGAGAAAGAACACTTGTATTCCATTGGTTTCAGTTATAGGTGTGCTTTATGATGGTAATAGGAAGCAAGATGTGGTTATAGAAGGCCAACCAAGATGATAAAAGACCTAGGAACAAAATCCTGTGAAGAATGGTTTGGGACTGGGGATGTATAGCTTATTGAAGACAGAGGTGACATGATAACCATCTTTAAATATCTGTAGGGATTTAAAATAGAAAATGGAGTAACCTTGTTTCATGCTGCAGCAGAGCCTAGGAACAAATGAAAACAGTAAATATGTGGAAGAGTCCAGAGCACTTGTTGTTTTATGGTTGTCAGAGCAATAGATATCCTCGGAGTGAGACTATCTTCTTTTTTCCTTTTTTTTTTTTTTGGAGGTTTTGAAACAGAGACTGGATGGCCATCTCCCAGAAGTACTTTGGCTGTGTACTTTGGCAAATGTAAGACTAGGGAAGCTGAAGGACATCAGGGGAAACTGTGGGGCAACATACCAATTTGTCCCCTTACTTGATTGGTTGTGATATCCCATCCCACAATGTTCCCCCGCTGTTCCTGGCTTCCTCCCACAACCTCCACATCTTCTTCTAAGAGAAGTTGGGTGTACATCTGAATCCTCAGGGCTCTGTGCTGCCTACATGCTGCTAGCACGAAGCCCAACAGAGCCCTGCTGGAAGTAGCCTGCATCATCTGATGGACTTCTCAACCACCATGTGATAAGGTCATAGGTGATCCTTGCAATGTTTTTTTTTTACCTCTACAATTGAGGCTATGTTTCACAACTGAACGGTAATTGAAATCTCATTTCCTTTGATCTCATATACTAAACACTTCAGCATTTGATAATTAAATGGCTGTTATCCATAATTGCTCATCAAAGATTTTGAGGTTTGCTTATTATATTTGGTTGAAGAGGCCACTTTGTTACCAGGGTGTTGGTATTTTTTTATATTGATTGTTTTTTATTTATACAAATAGAAATAATGATAAGCAGAATTTTATAACCTGTATTGTTACAAGATATTGTCAAATATTGTTATTCTTTGTCCCCTTTAAAATAGCTACCACTTTGGAAGCACAAAGTGCCAGACAGCAAACTTCAGACAGCACTTCTGATAATGCAGCATCACTTCCAGGAAAATCCATCTCAGGTAATAATCTATTCCTTTTTGTCTGGTGAGCTATGACTACTTTTCACATCTTACAGATGTGCTGTTTTTAGCAACAGTGATGACATATGATCCTGCAGAAATTGCACTGTATTTTCCTTTGTTGACAGGGGTTGATGGAAGTAAGAGTCGTGATCTGGTTGTGGGTTTCCTGTAAGCATGTAGTTGGACTCTGCGGGAACACAGTGATTGATTAGCAAGGCTTTTGCTCTGATCAGGCATGGCTCTTCTCATGGGAGCAGTAACGACAACAATTACAGGGCCACAGGATTCATGCCCTTGTCAAAATAATCTCACTCAACAGGAGTGTACACTCTGTACTTTGCATCTAACAGTATTGTCATTCATAAAGGAAAAGTGTCCACCTTGTTCTTCAGTGATGAATATTTTTTTTTCAGTATAGACCACTGGACCAGATATTGGTAGTTTTGCTGTTAATGATATGTATGTAAGGCGGTAAATAAGGCATTTGTTAATGAAGCAGAAACTTCAAAAAGCAAAATTCCTAAGACTGCAACTCATAGTCCATTTATATTAATGACAGACACACAGCTGACATAATCTCTCATAATCTGTTATGAAACAAGGACAAGATGAAACTTCACGAAATTTGAAGAAACTTGACAAAATCAAGACTGAGAGGCTTCCACATTCTTAGACTAATGGCCCTTCTAAACACAAAATTAGTTTAGTCTCCTTTTGAATGTTCAGTGACTGTAGGAAATGCTTTTAGAGTTGGTTGTGTTTTTTGTGTAACATAACTTCAGCTAAGAAAAGTTTAGATGTTTACTTCTCAGTTTAGAAACTTCTGGTACAGATTTCCTGTAGTGTAACTGAGTTCTTTCAGGTTTGTCACTTCAGGGAAACAGGACAAAGGAGCAAATGTGGCTTTGTTGTAACCCAGCAGGATGCTTCTGAAGTTCAGAGGTTTCATTCTCCAAGCTATTGGGCTTCTCTTTCCCTTGGAAAACCATCATCCACAGGAGGTCAGCAAAAGATTGCTTGGAACAAAGTGTCTTCCTAGCTACCAAACATTTATACTCACTTACAGGAAGGGAGGAACTTTCTCAAAACAGGAACTGAAATATTATATGAAACCCAGCCTTAGAACAAAACAATTGTCCTACAAGACTGGAAGTCTGCCTATAAGACTGGAAGTTGTTTTTAATTATATCAAAATCTATTTTTCTGAATAAGGTGTTACCAATTTTAACAGCTTAGATCTAGTCCCTTAAACATAGCTTCTCACTATGAAGACAGATACAAGCCCAAAGTAAACATGAGTTTTAATATGTACATAAACATACATTATTTTTTTGCATATGTGGTTACAGGTGAAAGGACTGCAAATTGGTTTGGGGTTTCTAGAAAAGAGGAAGAGAAGGGATGGTTAATAGGCCTGTGCGGTTTCGTTCGTTAATTTTGTAATTCGTTAAACATTCGTTAATTTTTGCATATACGAAATGATAACAAAACACTTTTTTAAACCCGGAAGGGTTTAAAAATAACGAAGTGGCATCCCCCATCCTTTTAACGAGTTTCCGCCTGTTTCGGAAATTGGATGGAGGATGCTGCTGGACGGTGCCTGGGAGCCAATCCGGCGCTCCGGCGCCCCTTTCTCTTTGCCCCGCCCCTCCCCCGCGAGCGCGCTTTGCCTCCTTGCTTGCTTGCTTGGCTTGGCTTTCCCTTCCCGGCAGAAGGATGGCAGCGAGCAGCGCAGCGACTGCTGCAGCCGCGGCTGCGGCGGCCGAGAAGGAGGCGAGCCAGCAGAGCAGCCTGGGCGCCGCCGCCTACTCGCCTGTGGCTTACATGCATCACCAGCTTTCCCCGGCTGCCCGAGGAGGAGGCGGCGGCGGCAGGAGGAGGGGGCTCGGAGAGCTGCCTCCGCTCCCGCAAGGAGGAGGATGCTTTGGAGTTCAACTCCCAGTGGGGACCCCCAAAGGTCATCCAGTCCATCCCCCTTAACGAATCGACCCCGCGGCAAAACGTAAGCTTCGGAAATGTTTTGCGCATGCGCGCGGGGGTCCGCCATCTTTACAAAATGTTTTGTTAATATTTACGAAATTTCGTGAATACCAAAACCTTTTTTGGGAAAGTTTTGTAAATATTTTAAATATCGAAACAAAAAAACACCCCAATTACAAATCGATTTTAGAAACAAATTTTTTCTTGATCAAACAGGCCTAATTTTTCTACTCTGCTAGATTCTCAATTAAAGACCCCTTTGCAGCCAGAAGTCATAGCTCACTGAATAATCATCATGCTTCCCATTAACTTGATAGAGTTGAACATGAATTTGTATGCATAATGTCCATTCCACTCTTGATATTTCTGTTGGAGACAGAAATCTGGTAGACCCTAATGGGAAAGATCTCTGCTGGAAAACAAGTGACTGTCACAGTAAAAAATAGACAGTTGGGTAGAAAAACCCAAACATATGGGGTAGCTTCATTATAGTTGATGTGAGCCTTCGAATTGTTTCCAACTCAAGGTGAGTTTTTTTTGGGGGGGGGGAGATTCAGAGGGGATTTGGCTTTGCTTTCTGCTGAAGCTGAGAGAGTATGACATGCCCAAGGTCACCTGATGGATTTCCATGGCTAAGCAAGGATTCAAACACTGATCTCCAGAGTTATAGTCCAACATTAAAATTACTATATGATGCTGGCACCTGTGTTTGTGTTATCAAGCCCATTTCTCTTCTTTCCTTTGCCAAAAGATTTTCCCCACTGCCAATACTATGCTCACAAGAAACATGTGAAGGAAATGAGATTGAAAGGTCGAAGGATAGTAGTAAGTTGAATCAGCAGTGTCTGGTTGCTCTGTCAGGAAGATTGTGAATCTGTTTTGAGCTTTACTCCATAATCCAAAATGGGAAAGTTGTTTTGGAGCCTAGATTCAACACTTGGCTTTATTCCTTCAAAGTTCAGACTAGTGCTCAGAATGATTTTCCACCTCCATAACATAAGTGCTTCCATTTGCTACTGGGGAGGTCCTTGATTTAAATGTTGGTCTGCCTGATCCCGTTTCAGTTTTCTTAAACAAAGAGCAGATATAAACTTAGTCCTTTCCTGATAAGGCTGAATCTTTTCTACATTTGTGACAGAGTGCATAGCAGTGTCCAGACCATGATGAATTTACTTGTTTGAGCTATAACTCCTGGAAGTTGGCTAATGATTGTGCTGGATGTGAGCTTTGAATTCAAAAAGTAACTTTTCCTAAACTCTGGCAGCAGTCATGGATGTGCTCCATCACATTAGGGCAAATTCAGGGGCATGCACCAGTTCACCCATCGTTTTATGACCGAGCCCTCCAGCTCCCATGCCATAATGCACTGCAACTTCCAGTGGGGCTCCATCATAAAAGGGTAGGCAAAACCGTGGCAACATGAGGAACTTCCCATGTTGTCTTGGATCAATGAGGGGAAGCCGGGCAATGGACGCTTCCCCCCGGAGTGGTGAGTTGGGCAGCGTGGGGCATGGGGTGACAGGTTCCCATGCACCTGGATGGGAACCACCAGAATTGACATGATCCATGACAATTCCAGTGACTTTTGTGATGATGTTGCATGTCCCCAATATTTGTCCACAAAGAGAACAATCTCAATGTCTGAAGAGGATTGTGGCAGAAATGAAGCTGGTGTTCTAGGGACCTCATCACATGGATGAGGCCCAGTGTTGCAATTTGGCAGCCTCCGTGGTGAATCAGGGTGGCAGCAGAGCAATCCTGGTGCCCCAGCTGTCAGCTGACACTTCCCCATTACACATGGGGAAGTTTTACCACCAAGCTTAATTCCGCAGTAGCCCCACTGTTCCTAATGGAGCACAGAGAGACCATAGTGTTGGTCATGCAACGTTTTATCATGCTACTGCCCCAGTTCACCCACTGAGTCCCATCAGAAATCAGCCTACATCATCTGATGGGTGGCGTGGGGCTCCATGAGTGAACCAGGGCAGAAGCATCCTAGGACATTTATGATGAGGTCATAAGTGTGGGATCATACATAAGTCATACATTGAGTGACAGATCCATCTTCTTTATAAAATGAATTTCTAACCTTGTGGCCCTTATGCTTTCACTTCAACTTACTGAGAAGATTTCAAATTAATGTTTCACTAAATCATAGCTTGAAAAAACATTAAATCCAGTCTCATTTTTTCCTTTTGATAGAATCATCCAGCAGCACACAACATCTTAGTCAAACTGAGAAGACTCCTGCCCTTGTATTCAGACGAGAAAATATTACCATAAGTGGTAAGTTTTTCATCTCCATTACGAACTTTGGCTAGCAGTAGATAAACTAATCCCTTTCTTTTAAAAACAAATTACTAGTAAGTTTCTTAAGTACTATGAATGCTTTGAAACTTAAAGCATCTAACAAAAACAGAGGTTCTATATATACTCATGTATAAGTCAACCTCGTGTGTAAATCAAGGGCAAGTTTGGGGCCCAAAAGTATGGAATTTGATATGACTCATGGATAATTTCAGGGCCATTCAACAGAGAGGGAAAATTGTCAATACTACCTCCGGAGGCCAACCAAGCTGAGAGAGGAAAGTTACACTGCAGCCATTTTCCCACCCAGGCATTCAAAAAGATCAGAAACAGTGTCAAAGTGGGGACAGTAGAGGTGCCATTTGCCATTCTGCTCAGAGAAGCAGATAAGTCATTTTGATAAGAGTTAAGTTACAGTACTGATACTGAACCACAGGTGTGCATTTTGGCACAAGATAACTGTTTATACTGTACAGAGAGGCAAATTATATTTTGCTTTACTTGTCTAAGACTAGCTTTTGTCTGCAAATAACTAACTGCTTATAGGCAGCTGTACAAGCCTTTTATTTGATACCAGCTATAAGATTCATGGTTTTGTTTTTTATCTGGGTCACTTCAAGAAATACCTTTCCTAAACCAGTTTGTCAAGTTTCCTTTTTCAGCCGTAACAGGTAGTTTTCTTGTCATTTTGAGGACTTGGAGAGTGTTTTTTCTTTCTCTTAGACAGAAAAAATGTGGAAAATGTGCATAGCCCACCCGACTGATTATTTTCTGAACAGATTTCTCTTTGTTGAAAGATGTGTTTTCCACCCAGAAGTTAATTGTAATGGAACTGCAAAACAGATATAAACCAGGCATTAAGGGGGAAAAAACTAATGAAAACTATGCTACAGTCAAAATCATAACAGTGGGGAACTGTTTCAGAGCTTGGAAAGGTCAGACTTTTGTACCTCAATTCCCAAAACCTTCCAGCCAACATGACCAGTGGATTTTGGGAATTTTAGTCCTCAAAAGTAACACTTTCAAGCTCTGATTTATTACATATAGTTTAGGGAGAAATGGCAGCATTGTTTATTTTGTTTTTGAAGTATTTCTCCTTTCTCATGTCAGTTCGAAAACAGGCCACATCTAACTTGACACTCTATATTTCCCAGTGCTAGATAAGAGGATTCAGTAGAGCATAATATGGATATCTGCAGGTTTGGAAACTGTTATTTGTTCAGGAATACAATATAGACTTGCATCTGTTTCCAGTCTGACAGTAACCCATCCCCAGGTGAAGAAAACAAAGTACCTAGCTTCCACTTACTAAGGGCCCTTCTACACTAACATAAAACCCAAGTGAGCTCTAATAACCTGCTTTCTCCTGGGTATCAGTCCTTGCCCCCTTCCAGAACCCTGGGCTTTCCCGTGGGGGTGGTCTGGATGCATCCAGCCATCCCCCATCCCCCCCAAAAAAATTTTACCCAAGGGGCCAGCCAACAGTGCAAGCTCTTCTGTACAGTCCTTCTGATGCTTGAAAACTCATGAGAAGGTGGGGAGGAGGAGAGAAATCCCTCCTGACACTCATTTTCCAGCATCAGGAGGACTATGCAGAGGGGCCTGTGTGGCCTGAACGCCCCTAAAGTTTGTTTTTTTTGGGATTAATGATGGGGAGGAGGGAACCCTCCTGCTCCAGTAACCTGAAGAACTGGGATACCTGTGGGGATTGACCCCTGGGATTGTGGAATGCAGCCTTGGGAATCAGTCCCCACAGGGCCCATACTGCGAAAGATCTGGACATTAGCTTAAGGTCCTGATTTTTCTCAGGTATTTATTTAATGTGAAGTAAACTGGGAAAACCCAGTTTTCTCTACATTACTCAATGATACAGTTTGGTTTAAGTATTTGGGAAACATTGTTAAATATAGGTCAACAGCACAGGTTTCTCTTGGTCTTTCCAGCTTCATATTGCATTGGCTTGATGAATCTTATGCCCAAACTTTTGTCAATAAAGTCTGATGCCCATCTTTTGAAGGCTGATATGACACTTTCTTGTGATAGATTGTTTATGGATTAGTAACATTTACTTCGATGCAAACATCTGTAAATGACATGAAGCTTAGAACAGTATAGGAATATTAGGCATGATGACTGAAGTGTTTCAGGAATGTGTCATTGTTCTGTCATCTTAATTGCAAAATTAATGTAGATGTAAGTCAAACTATAATTTAGTGAAGAGAGGTGAACCAAGGGATAGATTCTTTATTTTAAGTTACTTTTTTTTAATTGGAAAACTGTTTTCGAATTATTTCCAACAGGATTTCCTGACACTACATTAACAACAAACATCACATTAGAGAAGCCAACTGAACTTGAACTGTTGTGTAGTTTGGTTATCAAGCCTTCTACAGAAAGGGAAATCATGGAGGTTTCCTGGAAGACAGGTGATGCAACAATACAAGAGGAAATCCTCAACAGGACAGAAACCCATACTAAGTGGTGCACTCGACATACGTGAGTGGCTTCCATGAAATTTGTTTGGAATGGTTTTAAACATATGTATATGAACAAGGCAAAGAAGGAAATCGCATACAGAAAACGTCGATCTGTATTGCTTGCTATATTGTATCAATTGATAGTCCAGTTGTAGAATAAATAATTACATCATGTTATAAAGATGTGTTGCTTATTGCTTGTTGTGTTTTATGTTGTTTTAATGTCTAATTTGTACTATGATATTATGTATACTGTTTTGTTGGAAGCTATCTTGAGTCGCCGATAGGCTGAGAAAGGCGGTATACAAATACAGTAAATAATAAATAAATAAATATTTTACACTTGTGGCAGTTAGTGATATAGCAGCCATCGTGATGTGCCACATCATATATTGATTTATTGAGATAAATCACCTTTCTCTCTTATCTCAATACTTCTCAATTCTCCAGTGTCCGCTTGGAAAGCACAAGGGAAATAAACGAAGCGTGCTACTTAAGTCAGCTCCAAAGCCTGGAGCGGCACAACTTTATTGAAATCTAAACTATAAACTATATACTATATAAAGGAGCAGAGAAAACACATCCGATCATTTAGCCATACATCGTTGGAAGCACATGCTTATCAGATCTTCTGGCACACATATACATCACAGGAACTTTCCAAAGTTACCCTTTAGCAATCAATCAGAGCTCTATGATTTAACTCTTGCATTACATTCCTACATCACACAGTTTAAACTACAAAGAATATTTCACTACATTTGAACACCATGTTCTGACAGCATATGTATTACTATATTTTTATCTCTGTGCAAGCAGAGAATTCAGTCTAGGGATGCCATGTTCTCCATTAATAAGAAATTCCCTTATTAAACCCATACTAAGTCTGTAAGATTTCATCTTGATGACCCATCATGTAAAACCTTTCTTCCATCAGCTAATGAATTTGTATTTGTCTTAAGCACTACAACAGGGAAGATTCTCCATAAAACCATGATACTTTATCATTCTTTCAGCAATTGTTCTCCCATGTTAATTGCAGTTTTTTAACTCTCAGAATTAAATCCTTAAAATTATTATCCCATTAGAACAAATCCATTCCTTTTTACAAAGTATTATTTAACCAATCTTTTCAGGATAAACGTTGAAAAGGAGGACCAAATGAAAAGTTACACCTGCATTTACAAAACTACCCCAGAAATAAATGCAACATTTAATTTACAAGGTAAGATTCCAAAATTTTGCTTCTGTGATGATCAAATTAATATATAGTAAAGTAATATGACTAAATTTTGTTAATAGTTAGCTGATGTTTGTGGATGAGAGTATAGAACATGATCTTATAAATAAATGCAGTCGTATAGAACTGTTATTTTATAGCCATAGCTAGAACATTTATGTAAGTGATAAATGCACGAGAAAATCTGCTGTGCAAAGGATATATTATTTTAGCCTTTTTATGGTGGGGTGGAGGGAACATAAATAGCTTTTTATTTTAAAAAAATTGTATTAAATCTTCTAGTTCTGACCATTTTCCTGTCTTTTATACATTTGTACAGTTTTTTTACTGAAATAGGACAGTAATAAAAGGTATCCAGATGTAAGATGATATTTTACTGAAGATACAAGTTGATGAATTATTAAAATGTGGCTAAATATAGAATAGTGATACGCCCTGGTAAATGTTACTTAAACATTAATTATTTGTTTCCTTATATATAGTTACAGTTTTAGATCTGAGCAAGAATGTTTAGAAGAACTATCTCCTGGCTATGAATAGAGCCATTGTCCTTTTAATTGTATGCTTACTTATAAAAGAAAATAACAACACCCTGATTTTTTCTATGAAATGCCAAACCTTTCCTGTACTAGAATCGCATTGTTACACTGTCAAATTCTCCATTTAAGCTGTAACAAAATGACAGACAATAGGTTCCAATGGTATGGTGAAACGAGGGATCACAGAATTGGAGGACTAGGTCTTTTTCATTAGTAGGGCCAATGGCAATATTTTTCACATGCCACAGGTTTTCCTGAGTTTAGCTGAAACCTTCAGACTATCTGGATTAATGTAAGAGCAAGGAATTGCTTTTTATTACCAGCAACAATATAGATATACCTCAGTTAACAGTATTAACTGAGGTATATTTGAGTATTTTAAAGCGAACAATTTGCACTAGTGGAATGAAACAAACAGGTAAACAAAAACACTGTGAACCTTTTAGAGCATTGGTTCTCAACCTTCCTAATCCTGCAACCTCTTAATACAGTTCCTCATGTTGTGGGGACCCCCAACCATAACATTATGTTCGTTGCTACTTCATACTTGTAATTTTTCTACTTTTATGAATCATAATGTAAATATCTGATATGCAGGATATATTTTCATTCACTGGATCAAATTTGGCAACAATACTCGATACGCCCAAATTTGAATACTGATGTGATTGGGGGGAGGTGGCTGATTTTGTCATTTGGGATTTGCAGTTGCTGGGATGTATAGTTAACCTACAATCAAAGAGCATTCTGAACTTCACCAATGATGGAATTGAACCAAACTTGGCACACAGAACTCCCATGACTAATAGAAAATATTGGAAGGGTTTGGTGGGAATTGACCTTGAGTTTTAGAGGTGTAGTTCACCTACATACAGAGCACACAGTGGACTCAAAAAGTGATACATCTGGACCAAACTTGGCACAAATACTCAATATGCCCAAATGTGAATAATAACAACTTCATTTAAAAGAAAAATAAAGTTAAATGTGAACACTAGTGGAGTTTGGGGAAAAGAGACCTTGACATTTGGGGGCTGTAGTTGGTGGGATTTATAGTTCACCTAAAATCAAAGAGCATTCTGAACCCCAGCAACAATAGAATTGGGCCAAACTTCCCACACAGAACCCCCATGACCAATAGAAAATACTGTGTTTTCTGATGGTCTTTGGTGACCCCTCTGACACCCCCCCCCCCCCCCAGTGACCTCCCCCTGGGTCCCCCCCCAGTTGATGAATGATGTTTTAGAGACAACTGAAGCCTTTATAGAAAATGCACCCAAATATTACTATTTCTTTCACTCCTCTCTGTTTTTGTTATGATTTCCATTTTGTGCCAAATGTATTAGTTTAGGCTTTTAAAATACACAATGGGGGTAGCTGGTAAGGTGAACCTATCTACTATCCCCTTTTCTCTGTTTTGCTTTTGATGCATACTCCGGATTCTGGAGGTTGCTACTATTTACCTTGCTTGTTGGATGGAGGCAGGCACACCCAGCTAAAATTGTATTGGCTAAAGTATAATCCCATTCTTTCCCAGCTTATATATTATTGCACTATTTACTGAGGGCATATTGCCTTAACTCAACACCAAAAGCTTGTGTTTCTCCATTCCTGTTTTTTTTTTTTACCAAAATTTTGCAACTAAACAGAGGACCCAGTATTTTCACCTGGAATGCTGTGTCCAGTTCTGGGTATCAAAGTTCACAAAAGATATAGACTACTTGCAACATGATCAGAAAATGATCACCAAGATGATCAAAGGTCTGGAAGCCAAGCTTTATACAGAAAGACTTCAGGAGCTGTATATGTTTAGCTTGGGAAAAAACTGAGATGCATCATTATACTCATGGCTGGCGAAATGTCATGTAGAAGATGGAGCTAGCTTATTTCCTTTTGCTCCTGAGACTAGAATACGAGTAATTAGAATCAAATTACAAGAAAAAAGATTATACCTCAACGTCAAAAAAAAAAGGGGGGGGTTATTATAAGAATGGTTCAATGGTGAGATAGATTGCTTTGGAGGGTGGTGGACAGACACTCCACCTTTAACATCTTTAACAACAAGATGATAAATGGACATTTCAAGATCAATTCAGTTGTGTATTCCTGAATGGCATGGAGTTGAAGTATATGGTTCCTGTGGTCTCTTCCATCTCTAAAATCCTAGTGTGTGCTATCTGTAGGAAATTCCATTAAGTTAAAAGACCATGACAAAAGAGACCATGCTTGGCTGAAAAATATTAATCAAATAGAGATGTGGTGATAATAATCAGATAGATGTTATTTCATGGTTTATTTGCTTAGCCATAATTGATTGGTGCGATGCAAGCAATATGTTTAACATTTTTCTACTTTTCAGTTGCCTGGGTTTGCAGTTATGTGAGCTAAGAATGTGTGATAAGGACATTCTGAATATGTTGCTGTTCCTTGGCTTTATAGAGCCTGATTTGCTTTTAGTTTTGCCTTCCTTTTTCATACATTTAAACAGGGAACGGAGCTGATATTGCAAAGGTAAAATGTGACACAAGGCCTCCAGACAGGCATACATAATGCACAGTGTTGGCTGAATAGAATTTAAAGGAGTTACTTCTTTGGCTACAATTCCCAGAATTCCTTAGCCAGCACAGCCATGGACCACGTTGGCTGGAACATTCTCAGAGTTATAGAATCTCACTGGATTCTCTAGAAGTGGGTAGGATTTTTGTGTGATGTGGATTCAATAAAGGTAGTAGAAATGAGGTTATGGATGTGATACACATTGTAAAATGCATATTTGTTGCACATTCCATTTTGAAACAGAGATAGTGTGGAAGCACCAACTAACTCTATGACTGCAATCCGGCATACCACAGCATAGTAGAATAGGTTGACATGTGGACCTATGTCAGGTTGGGCCTTAAACCACCACCATCCTGACTTCCTGAAAAGCCTCTGAAGCCCCTTTTAATGCCATTGTGTGTTGTGGTGAGTGTAGCATCTGTAGTCAGAAGCAAAATGATGGCATAAGATCTGAGACCTGCAGGAGTCTTCCACTGCTGTAATTATTTCGCATCTGGCTATGATGACATATCCTAAAGTGTCTATAATCCTACCCACTTCCCACAATGCACGGAAGGCCATGCAAGGAGCCATACATATATTACGCTGAAGCAGGGGATACTTGGACACTGTAGAAGAAAGAAGGAAATACCGACCTCTTTTAAAAAGTTTCATTTTTTAACTCTAGAAATCAAGTTAGCTGCATGACTGCTTATGTTACATGATTTCCCTAACTTCTTTGTTGAAGGAGGGAAATATTACAAGTCAGGCCTCTGTGTGAAGGGGTGATCACATGGAGAACCGGAATGACACTTCTATAGCAATGAGAAGAGTTGAGTGTGACTTATTCTCAATGCAAATGCAGTGTCATCCAAAACTGAATTCTGCATCAGAACATAACATATAGATGTGCTACATTCAGTTGGAAAAAAAAAGAAGAAAATATAGTATATTCAATTTCTGGTTGGAAATTACAGTATATATGAGTTTTCAGAGGCAGTTTGGTTTAAACACAGATATGCATCAGAGCTAAATTTGATTCTTAGAAGCTGATCATGTTGATTTTAGTGACATTTAATGTCCATAAAAGTAGGCTTAGGACTGTATGCACAGGACTTTTTCCTGTGCATATGTGACAAACCTGCCACTGAAAATAAGGGGTGCAATGCGGGTACAATTCAGAAAAGACTACTTACCTCTGAGGATGCCATGAAATAAATCTCAATTGTTCTGAAAAATTAGCACCACTTTTTCCTAACAGTGACTTTGTGTTAAGAGGCTTCTAGAAGGTCCATCAAAGGTTTAAAAGGTTTACTTTAAAAAACAGGTCTATCAAAGGTCAGAATTGTTTACTTTTAAAGAATCTCAGAGACCATGCTGGTTGGGAAATTTTGTGAGCTGTAATCAAAAAATTATGTTATTGTAAGAACTTCTCAAGCATAGTTATTTCAGTCTGTTGGACTACTGTTGATCTCAAACATTTCATGTGCATTAAGTACTCACACATTCAGTTCTTTTTCCTTTCAGATTTTGAAAGGTTATTTCCATTGTGATTTAGGAGGATTGTGTGAACACTGGATGATGCTTTTAAAGTGTTACTAATTTTATACTTGATAATCTAGCCATATTTTTTGTTCTCCCTGGTAATATGCAAACATTAGAAATCACGTTCCTAATTGCAAGTTCTCTAAAGATGTGACAGAGAGAATACACCAGCTAACTCTGCAAATATGACAAAATAGCAGTACAGTATATGACATAAGAAATGTGCATAAACTGCTGACACTTGTATAGTCACTACAGAAGTGTCTTATGTTTTTTCTTAGTGCCCGAGATACACATAAAATCCAAGAAAATCACCAGTTATGTAGGTGATTATGTGGTCCAAACATGTACAGTTGGCAAGGATGCAAAGCATTATACCCCTTCTTCTTGGGCCTGGTATGCAACCAACGGAAGTAATGAGGTAAATTTCTGCTTCATTCATTATTGAAAAAAATATTCTTCCACATTATTTTTACATAAGTTGTACATTTCTGAATTAAAACTAATCTGGACCATCAAAGGTGTTCATGGCTGGAATCACAACCTCTGAGAATGCCTGCCATAGATGCAGGTGAAACATCAGGAAACGATGCTTCTGGATCATGGCCATACAGCCCAAAAAACTTACAACAACTAAGCTGAACCACCGTTAAGATTGGTATTTCATCCCACTTCTTACAGCTCTGGCAGCATCACACACCACCACATCAAAGTGTATTCTGGTTTTATTATCTATAAATTGATTTGCTTAGAAAATATTTTGGAGGCTTTGGGAAGGGAGAGATGGAGGGCTAGTGTTTTTTTTTTTACTATTGTAAGGTGAATTTTCAGTTGAATTTTTAAACAAATGGTTGCAGGTGTTCTGGAGTTTGTGGGATTTCTTGAGAGGCTACAAGGGCTATATCAAAGATAGGACCACATTCCAAACTTAGGCCTCACATTCCACCCATGCTGTTCCACCTTCTTGTCGCTGGAAACTCCACTGCCAATGCTGATGTGTCCCTTCTCATATGGAATGTGGGAATATGGTTCCCAGATTCCAGCAGTAGCAAGTCAATCTCTACCATATTTCAAGAGACACTCCCAAATGGCCCAGGGAGGGAAAATACCACAACTGAGGGCCCATGGAACAAAGAATTTTCATCATTTCCCCTTTCTTTGGGCACTAAGCTAAGACAATTGAGCTGAAGAAATTGTTTGCTGTCCCAGGACTGGGCTGAGTTTTTAGTCCTTTATCTTTAAGCCCCCTTAATTCCATTTTCTTCATTTTACAATCCTAATTTAAATGGGGTGAAGGAAACATGCTGTTTGCTAAAAGACTGGGAACCATTATTAGGATGGTCATGTGGAGACTTTGAAGAATTCTTTATTTGAAGGGCTCTCTAAGTTCTCTGTCCGTCTTAAAGACACACACTCATTTGAAGGAGAGTGAAACATTCTCTCAACCACATACCATTGTCTTCAACATATTTGATTGAACATTGCATGAAACAATATCCCTATGGGTCAGGTATTAATTTTCCTTTCCAATAGCTTCCCTATACTATTTTCTTGATTGTATTTTTCACTCGCATGCCTAAATGTTTTTTTTCTAGATTTTATAATGATGGAATACTTCAGTGTCTATCATCCTACTAAATTGTTCAAACTTGTCTTTCCAGGAGTTTATTAATGCTACTGCCATGCCAGAGAAATACACCATCATCAATAATCATGCTAATAATGTAACCAAACTGAAGATCATGACTCTTACTGAGAAAGACAGTGGTTCTTACTGGTGTGAAGCCACCTTTCCTTTAGGCAAAAGCAAAGGGAAGGTGTCTTTGACAGTCCTCACCTATCTGGCACCACTTAAACCCTTTCTTGCTGTCACCGCTGAAGTTATTGTTTTAGTTGCTGCCATTTTTATGTATGAAGTATGTACCAAAAGGAAGGAAGTTCAAGTTGGTAAGATACAGAAGTATATTTTGTGATACATACTTATTAAAAAGTAAGCATGCATTTAATATTTGTAAATTACAGAATTTGGGAAAATTACTCCGTTTTTGGGGCCACATTTCCCACACCCCTCAGCTACCACTTTTGGGGGGGGGAGGGGAGGGGGACTACAGTTCCAACAGCCCTCAACTACTAATGGAAACTTTAAACAGTATCCACCCAAATATAGGCTTTCTAAGATCTTATAGATCTTGTATTTCTACCCACACCTGCTTTATGGAAAATTAGACTGATAGACTTTCCAGCATAGTTTCATTTACTCCAACCTTCCCCAACCTGGCATTTTGAACCATCAGCCCCATCATTCCTAGCCTACATGGTGACAGTTTATATTAGCCAGAAAGGCAGGGAGTTGTAGCTATTGGATATAGTTGCCTAACTGCATTCACATTGAAACACAATTCTTGCCTTACATGTCTTGACCTCAAAGTGAAATGCAGTTACTTTAACCATCACAGCAGCAATTTCATTAGGGGTGGAGGTGGTTTGATGAGCCCCTAAAGAGATTAATGTTGCCCAGCATTGTTATGCAGTCTTCCCTTAGACATTGCCTTATCAAGATTAGTGGAACTTTCTTCACAGTGAATGTGATTGAGGATGAATTATATGAACCTTAATTGCACTTTCATGGGTCCTCACAAAAGTGGGAAAACCACAAATCAAAACCATTTCGATCTTCTAGGAATCTCTAAGTTCTCCAGAATAACTCAGAACTCACCTTCCTCCACATGTTGACCACAGAATTATGCTGGAGGACCAACAAATGCTCAAAGAAGTGCTTCTCTAAGAATCTGTAGGTCCTCCAGTGGAATGTGAGCATAGGGTCATAATGGAGGGCCTACAGATTCTTAGAGGTAAAATATTACTCAAGTCCATGAAGAATCAAAGTTAACAAATGTGGAGAGGCAAATGTAATAAAACCCTTCAGATGGACTGAACAACCACATTCTCATGGCAAAATATCAAACGATAATATCAAGGACTTGAATCCTATCAATAATCTCATCTAGAGTGGAGCCACTAAATCAGACATCTAATGCTGATTTCAAAAAAAATATTTTGGACATGGATTTTAAACAGCACACCTACTAACCTCTTCAAAAGTGGTCTATTTCTTGGAAAAGCAATTCAGTCTTTTTCTTTGATTGGTAAGGGTGGGTAGAATCTGAAAGATTCAGGAATTACAAAAATCTTTGACTGTTCCTTGAGGCTCCAGTACCAGTATTCTATGTGGTATTCTTCACACTTATTGATCTGGGACATAATTCTAGATTACACTCTAGGTGAATAACCACAAGAAGCCACATTTAACAGTATTATTTAATGCTTGTAGGGCTTGTGTTCCTTCTAAGACATTTCAAGACAACATCTGGTTAGAGAGGATTATCCTCCAGTTCTACATTTCACTGTCTAGATGACCAATCCTGCAATCCTGCTCTGAGTTATGTCATAGACTGTCAGCTTTTTGCTTTCTGCATGTGGCAGTCACTAAGTAATGAACTGATGTCCTATTACTTTAACATAATGAAGATATTCTTCTTTACTTGACAGTGATCTCTGATTTATTGATACATTATATAATAAAAACATAATATAGAGTTTCTCTTTGTCTCACAGAAGTCGAAAAGGAATTTGAACAAGCAGAAACACTGTAAGTAATCTCCTTTTATTCTATATGTGGTGTTTTTGTAATCTGTACTTTTATAGGAAACGGTCTAAAGTTCACACCAGCAGTGGGGATATTATTTTTCCATCCATGATGTTTTCAAATAATACTGAATTCCTTTCCATTGTCCATAATGGGTATTGTGATCTAAAATATTGGAATTAGCAAATATTTCTTGATTCTGTATTAAACAGTGGGAGATGAACATCAGTTTCTTTAAAGTTCAAGTGTGGCCATTACTTCTCCAATTGTCCTGATTCAGAAAGTCCCCAGCTCAGCTAGGAGAGCAGCTAGGAGCAGACCCCCAATGTGTTGACCTAGTTAAATTCCCACTTTCCTCTCCATTCCGGTAGTATCAGGGTTCACCCTCTATATTGCTCCTTATGTACCTTCTGGCTAGAAGGATGTGGGCTAAATTAAATGTTGTTTATCTTGTCTCTCTAAATAAATGAGAAGGAATAATCTCCTTATGTCACATTGATCTTAGACTAGCCACTTTAGCTAAGATTTCTACCTGAAATGCCAAACAGGAAAATATGTTCTGTGTGTGCATGTTTGTGATTGAATGACAAGCTGTGAGCAACTGTGGTTTGGTACTTAATGCCTAATGCTCAATGATATCATTGCTGCTGTCCTTAGGACTCAGGTCCTGGCCTGGAAATCTCAAAGCCTGGCACGATCCTGAATTGGTAACCCTGCTTGGCAAGGCCAGTTAGCAGTCTGAGAGTTAATAGTTGGTGGGAAACAGAGAAGACAGTACTAAATGCAAATAAAATCAGAATTTGTGATCTTTCAATGCACTCCACTTTTTCTATGCAGAAAATCAGAAGACAGCAACGGTTTGGAAAACAATACAAGGCAAAGAAAAAACTGAGTGCTTTGGAGATGGAAGGTGAGTGCAAAGTATATTTCAGAGATTCTGAGGTTATGAATGGATCAGTACTGTCTTTTTAAAGGGTGGTTCTTATGATAGTTTTATAACAAACAACTCAACCTTGACAAGCAGCTCACAAAAAAAGACAAACTTCTGCTTTTTGAGGACATTTGTTGATACCATATTCCTCTAATGTTCTGATTTGGCAGAAACACTTCCCATTTCTCTTTAGTCATACCACTGTTCGAGCTGCTTTTAAAATGTACTAGTTAGTCTTTACTTATTCCCCTTTCCAGTTTTTGCATTGTTTACTTTAGTTGCTGCAAAGTGCATTGAATGGACAAGAGTTGGGGGGCGAGGGGGGGAGAAGGTTGTCTTTCTCTGTAGGTTTAGGCAAAAGCATATTAATGAGGAAGCTTGCATTTTTTTTACCCACTAATAACTTTTGCCCTTTTAAGCAACACCATTATTTGGTCACACACATTCCAATTTCCTTTTTTGAAAAATTGATACCTTACAACTGCAGGATAGTTCTAAGGCCAGTGTAGTCAGAGTTTGCTGTTCTAGGGACCAGTTTTCTGCTCTTATGATTTACTATTTTCTGCATCTGCCCAAAATGTTAAAGTACAGGACAAATTAAAACAGGAAGTTGTAAGACAACCACATCCAGGTTTATCTGGGGATTGGAGGCTTTATTATTATTATCATCCTTGGGTTACTGTGAGTTTTCCGAGTTGTATGGCCATGTTCCAGAAGTATTCTCCCCTGATGTTTCACCCACATCTATTATTTATTTACTTATTTACGACACTTATATGCCGCCCTTCTCACCCCGAAAGGGACTCAGAGATATACTTACAAGATATATATACATACAATATATTATATTATTAGCATAGTACAATATCAGTATTATATATTCCTATATTGTACTGCACCATTATATTGTAATATTATTAGTAATATTACATGTAATATAAAATATATAATTATAATATCATAGTATTAGTGGTAGTATTATATTGTATTACATTATAATATTATAGATATTATATGTATGTACAATATATTATATATTATATTATATTATATTATATTATATTATATTATATTATAATTAGCATAACACAGGAGACAAGGTGGGACTGTCCCCTGGCCCCCTCTCGCTTCACTCTGGTCCAGAGCGGCAGTTGGTGCTAGAGGGAGGGGTCTCCAAATGATGACATATGCAGGAGACAAGATGGAACTGTCCCCCGGCTCCCTCTCTCTGTTGTTGCTGTCGGAAACAGACCCTGGGACTGTCTTGTGTAGAACCCATTGGAATTCTCTCATACAAGTCTGAACCATGGCCGTCCTTGCTTATCAGTCTTGAGCGGTCTCCCATCCATTCTGAACAGATCTGTGGCAGGCATCTGAACATTCCACAGATATATAGACATCACTTGCCTAGTTTCCAACAGACCTCACCACCTCTGAGGATGCCTGCCATAGATGTAGGTGAAATGTCAGGAGAGAATGCTTCTGGAAAGTGGCCATATAACCCAGAAAATTCACAGCAGTCCAGTGATTCCGGCCATGGAAGTCTTTGACAACACATTATCATCATTATTATACTCCGCCTTTCTCCCTGTGGGGACTCAAGGTGACTAACACTCCACACTAAAAAAGTTTAAAAGGTGCAATACAAAAGGTAAAAACAGAATAAAAATACAGTAGATAAACTAAAATGGCCTTAAAAACTCATATTATAATATTCATATTATTTTCCTTTAAAGTTTCTGATTCTGTTTCAGACAGATGTATGCTGTGTTGCAGCTGGAATAAATGTTATTATTCTGTTAAATGTTAATGTGTGTCTTATTCCGGACTATAAGTACACATTTTGTGGGATTTCTTCTGAAAACATTTCATAAACAAATGCAATCATAGTATAGAAAGAAAATGCTAAATTGAAACACTGAAATTTAAATATGAAGTTGAGAATACAGAAGCTTTTAAGATGAGTTGTTGGCTACTCCTGGAGACTCTGGGGAGTTTGGGTGAGGAGAAAACCTTTTTAGTTGCCCTGCAGTGCTGCAAAACATGTCCCTAAAGAACATGTGCTGTGTGCACACTGCTTTTGGCTCAACCTACAAAAGCTGCAAATTATATAGTTTGTTGTGCCGTGGGTAAGGTTGATGTGGGTAATTGTCCCGAGTCCTGACATATCATGATCAAACTCTGATGATGCCTTTGATGATGCCAAACTCTGATGATGTTAACAAATGATCCCTGCTGACATAAAAAAGGGTGATGCTCCAAGACCAGCCCCAATAATAATAACAAACAAGTCTAACAGTTGAAGAATGAATACATATTGCACACTTTTCAAGGCAACATACTCACCTCCTGAGAGCTGAGAATCTTAGGCATGAGGAGGTAGTTTTAGTGGGCAGGCACCCACCACACACACACACATCTCTGCCATCCTCTACAGCAGTGTTTCTTAACCTGAGGGTCGGGACCCTTGGGGGGCAGTCATGAAGGGGAATCAGAGGGGTTGCCAAAGACCATTTTCTGTTGGTCATGGGGGTTCTGTGTGGGAAGTTTGGTCCCATTCTATCATTGGTGAGGTTCAGAATGCTCTTTAATTGTAGATGATCTATAAATCTCAGCAACTACAAGTCCCAAATGTCAAGGTCTATTTTCCCCAAACTCCACCAGTGTTCACATTTGGGCATATTGAGTATTCATGTCAAGTTTGGTTAAGATCCATCATTGTTTGAGTCCACAGTGCTATCTGGATGTAGAAGAACTACAACTCCAAAACTCAAGGTCAATGTCCAGCAAACCCTTCCAGTATTGTCTGTTTGTCATGTTTGTGCCAAGTTTAGTTCAATTTCATTGGAATTGCTCTTTGATAGAAAGTGAACTATAAATCCCAGCAACTACAACTCCCAAATGACAAAATCAATACCCTCCCAACCCCACCAATATTCAAATTTGGGCGTATTGGGTATTTGTGCCAAATTTGATCCAGTGAATGAAAATACAACCTGCGTATCAGATATTTACATTACAGTTCATAACAGTAGCAAAATTACAGTTATGAAGTAGCAAAGAAAACAATGTTATGGTTGGGGGTCACCACAACATGATGAACTGTATTAAGGGGTCACACCATTAGGAAGGTTGAGAACCACTGCTCTACAGGGTAAAGTACATCTGTGGGTATGACAACATCAAGACCCAAATACAAGTGATGGGTGAAGCTTATTCTTCTCAGTCAGGGAGTGCCATTATTTCTGTGTTCCCATCTCCATATGAGGCATTCATCAATGAATAGAAATAATGCTATTATGGATCAATTGGTACTGCTGAATTTATATTGATAATTTGCTTTTTTTCAATCTAGGCAACAGATGAATATCCATGGCAAAAGAAAAGTTCAGCCAGAAGTTGCTTGAGGAAAGAATTCAGCTTATATGTCTTAAGAAAAAATATGCTTAAAATGCCTTTTTAGAAATGAATTTATGCAATGATGCTACTGTTATGCACATCAGTGTACATGTACTGTATGAACCCATGGTGTTGTCAGTGTTCCCATGGTTATATCTATTGGAGCCTTTTGGCTTCAATTAGAAATAACCCAGCCTTAATTGTTTAGCCATTAGTCTGGATTTGTATATATGGAGACATTTATTTTGCTTTACTATGTTTTATTGTATATGATGTCCAGCTGTAGTCAAAGACCTTACCCCAGGCTACTTTTTTATTCAAAGAAATTAGGGCAGCAACAGATTAATCTGTATGAGTCTTGAATCTGTATTTTTTGATATTTAACCTAGCAGCAATTTATTCAAAAATGCTCCAGCTGTTGAAAATATTTTGTTAGCTGGTGGGGCTTTTATTAGAGTCTCCAGTATCTTCTCTTTCTTTTTCTTTGAATTTTGCTTTTTGTAAGGAAATAAATTGCTAACACTCATGTTTGAAAAGCTCTGGAATATTAGGATAGCAATTGAGAGTCTTGAACATTAGAAAACAACAGTTTCTGCCTTTGGACGGTTAAGCTGTAATATTAAACCCAGTTGAATTGCTTTATTGGTATGCATAAATTCTTGCTCATGTAGCTAGAAATGTTTTCCTTTGTGACAAAAAGGGTATATCTAATCTATACATAAAGAGCGAAACACAGCTGTAATGCTCATGGATGGACCAAAGGGATGACAATTTAATCACATATTCTCTGCAAAATACTAGAAGATCCACATTTCAATGTTCTAACATGTTGAACTGCAGTTTTAAAGGTCTGCCCTATTTCCTATCATCACTCAAAATCTCTGTACCATGAAATTATAATCTTAAATACTCACGTTGAAGATAGAATAGAACATTTGTTATTAATCAGCAACTTGTACGATTTGTCTTTAGATGTTCAAAATGTTTTAGTTAATTTTGTATTTCAGTAAAAATATGCACAAAGAAGTTTAGCATATCAGAAAGACTTTATAAGCTTTATAAGTTAAGATTTATAAGGGATATTTACCCTTCATAGGCAAGAGCCCCTGGTGGCACAGTGGGTTAAAGCCCTGTGCCGGCAGGACTGAAGACCGACAGGTTGCAGGTTCGAATCCGGGGAGAGGCGGATGAGCTCCCTCTTATCAGCTCCAGCTCCTCATGCGGGGACATGAGAGAAGCCTCCCACAAGGATGATAAAAAACATCAAATCATCCGGGTGTCTCCTGGGCAATGTCCTTGCAGACGGCCAATTCTCTCACACCAGAAGCGACTTGCAGTTTCTCAAGTCGCTGCTGACACGACAAAAAAAAAACCCTTCATAGGCATGAATTACATCTCATTGCTTCCTCCACCTTACCACTGACTATTTGCATGGAGGAAGTCTTACCAATAGCCATGGGTAGCTCCTTATGCATAGATTTCCTCCATGCACACTGTTCTCACACTGTATCACACAGATATTAGGAGCACGGGCTGGGTGATCCTCTAGAAATCATATGACACCCCCTTTAACTGCATTCAGATGAGAAGAGGCTAACTGTATTCTTCATTCGCCTCAATGGAAATCTGCCAGTTATGATTATGGTTCAGAAATCTCATTTTAAAACATGTGTCATTTCCAATTTTTTAAATAATCAAAATATTTTTTGTACACTTAAGAGTTCATAATCTGTGTCCCTTTGGTTATTTCTTGTGTTCAACCGCACTATTTGGGTGGAAGTGGCTTCTAACAGTGGTAATCTATCCACAGGCCAGTACAGATGATTGGATGATGGGAACACCCTAAGATATGGGAAAGTGTCTGTGTGCAGAATGTGTGTTTACATGGTTGTATGGCATGTGTGTGTAGGTGTGGTCCTTCAGGCAACACCAGAAATAGCATTGAGTGTGGAAAAGGTTGTTCACCTCAGGATGGAATTAACCATCCAGTATATCTATAGAACATGTTAGAGAACACTAATCTATACTTTCTTGGCATGTAAGTAAATATGGCATCATCTGGAGAAGGAAGCCAACAGGGTTGTGGGTCTCATTGTCTGAAATTTATATGTCCAACTTCACTACTTCCAGATTTCACAGCAGAGGAAAATGTCTTCTTATTTTTTTAGTCTTCCTTAACAGATGAACCAAACTGGAAATATACATCAGAGTGTTATTGAACATGCACAATTCTCTTTAAAACTATCCATATTATAATATTTATAGTCGGGAATCTTGTTGGCTAGTCCATTAGAATAAATCTACATGAGTGGGGAATTGACATGTGGATATTGATTCAATGGCTCTATGTCAGTTGATATAAACAATAGGATTTAGGCTAGAGTGTAGTGAGAATTCAGGAACAAATGTGTCCAACACTCTTAACTTCAACACCACAGTGATTCTGACACATGATCATCAAATAGCCTGTCCAGGCCTGCTCAGCACCTTAAAAAGGCCCTGCCTAAACTGTATCAATCCCTGGACATCTTGTGCAACAGTGGAATCCAGTGGAGATGGATGATAGTAATCTCTACATTACCACTTCCCTTAACACCCCATTTCCTCTGGTTGGAAAGCTCTCTGGTGATGGCTTTTAAGCAGCTCCATAACCAACAGCAACAGGGAAAAGGAAGGAAGTCTTGCAATGTGTCACATTACCTTTAACCCTTTTCTCCACCAAATTAGTGTTAGTGACAGGTATTTTTATCATATCAGAAGCGACTTGAGAAACTGCAAGTCACTTCTGGTGTGAAAGAATTGGCCATCTGCAAAGACTTTGCCCAGTGGATGTCCAGATGTGTTATCATCCTGTAGGAGGCTTTTCTCAGGTCCCCACATGGGAAGCTGGGGCTGAAAGACTTGTCTCATGGATTTGAACCGCTGGCCTTCAGGTCAGCAGTTCAGCTGGCACAAGGGTTTACCACATTGTGCCACCACAGCTCCTGGTGAGAGGTATCATAACCTAATATAAAGATAATCAGTGGTGGTGTCCTTTTCATTCAGTCACATCACACATAAAGAGCCACAAAACTCCATTCAGAACAACAAAACTCCACTTAGAACTTCAGCTGTGAGGAGAGAATAATCAATCGGGGCAGATCATGGTGAAACCGAAATGACTATTTTGTCCTTCTGTTTCAGGAAGAAAGTGAATAACCCAAAGGGGACTTGATTTATAACTCATGCCATGCTGAACAAGGTTAGAAGAGCGTTGATTGTGTTATAGGCAGGAAAAAATCAATATCCCTGTCTGATCAAGTTTTAATAAAGAACAAGGAAATGTCTTTAATGATTGCTAATTAACTGGCACTAGATTGTGAGATAAGTAAAACGGCAATAAAGATAACAAATGTGTCAAATATTTGGATACCATCCCAGGCATTTATTTGATTTATGGTAATGTCCTTCATCAAATGTTTGTTATAGCATCCGGCTTGCCTCTGACAACAGATCAAAGCTATAAGTAACTTAACTTCACTCCTATGTTTTAGTTTCTTGTACTTGCATGGGTCTGGCACAAGGTTCAAATGCAGGTTCATGTTGCAATCAGTGCTGCTGCTTCTTTAATGCTCTGCTATAAATACTGAAGCATCACTAAGCAGATTGGACAAAGGCTGAATTTTCTACCAACAGCTATTATATATAGATAGATAGATAGATATAGATATAGATATAGATATAGATATATAGATATTCAGTTACTTTTGAGAAACAGCAAAGCATTACATTTAAAAAAATTAGAACTATAATTTTAATTAATCACTTTTTAGCTTTGAAACTTGGAATGGAACTAATTATTTTTAAAAAATGCAAGCTACAAACTGAGGCACCACTGCTAAAGGAATGAGATATGTTTCACCCATAGAGCTCTTTGAATAGGTAGCAGTAAATTTAACCCACTGCGCCACTGGAGCCCCTGGCAGTGCAGGGGTTAAAGCGCTGTGCTGCTCAACTTGCTGACTGAAAGATAGCAGGTTTGAATCCAGGGAGCGGCATGAGCTCCCACTGTTAGCTCCAGCTTCTGCCAACCTAGCAGTTCAAAAACATGCAAATGTGAGTAGATCAATAGGTACCGCTCCAGCAGGAAGGTAATGGCACTCCATGCAGTCATGCCAGCCACATGACCTTGGAGGTGTCTACAGACAACGCCAGCTCTTCGGCTTAGAAATGGAGATGAGCAGCAACCTCCAGAGTCAGACACAACTGGACTTACTGTCAGGAGATAACCTTTACCTTTACCTAAATTTACTAGATGAAGTCACATTATCTTGTTAACTAGTTGTCAATGCGGAGAATTTTGTTCTCTTAAATGTACAGTAAACTCCTCAATAAACTTCAAATTTTGTACAACCTTACAAGCAATTGTACACTATATGCAGGTGTGTAGTTCTTCTTGCTATAGTATTTTATAAAGCTGCGTCGAAGGGGACTGGGATCAGATCCTAGGATGTTCTTGTTGTTTATTCATTCAGTCGCTTCCGTCTCTTCATGACCTCATGGACCAGCCCACACCAGAGCTCCCTGTCAGCCATCATCACCCCCAGCTCCTTCAGAGTCAAGTCAGTCACTTCAAGGATACCATCCATCCATCTTGCTCTTGGTCATCCCCTCTTCCTTTTTCCTTCCATTTTCCCAAGCATCATTGTCTTCTCTAAGCTTTCCTGTCTTCTCATGATGTAGCCAAAGTACTTCATCTTTGCCTCTAATATCTTTCCCTAGGATACAGGGAGGTGTAAATCCAGCTTTATATGCCCAGAGAAACATGTACTCATTTCAGGCCCATTATACACTGCCATATATCCCAGGATCTGATCCCAGATTATCTGCTTTGAACTGGGTTATATGAGTCTACACTGCCAGATAATCTGGAATAAGCAGATAATCTAGGATCAGATCCTGGGATATAGGGCAGTGTCAATCCAGCCTGAGGCTGGATCTACACTGCCATATAATCCAGATTATCAAAGCAGACAATCCACCTTGAACTGGATTATATGAGTTCAGTTCAAAGCAGATAATCTGGATTTTATATGGCAGTGCAGAAGGGGCCTTATCTGTCCTTTTTGTATTCCCTGGTAGCATTCCATAGAACTCTTCTCAACCACCACATTTTAAATGAGTTGATTTTTCTTCCTGTCTCCTTTTAAAACTATTTGTCTTCCACATCTATACATTTATTTATTGTGTCATCAGCAACCATACCATTGTGTTACAATTCTAACAGAACAAAACAAACACACAAATTAAAAAGAAAAAGAAAAAAACCCACAGATTTTGCAAACTTGGTAGTTGGTTAAATGTCCTTTGCAGCAAGAAGGTCCTCCATTGTGCTTGTGGCAGGGCTCAGCGTGCATTGCAGCAGGTGGTCTGTGGTTTGTTCTTCTCCGCACTCACATGCCGAGGATTCCACCCTGTAGCCCCATTTCTTATTGGCTCTGCATCTCGTGGTGCCAGAGCGCAGTCTGTTCAGCGCCTTCCAAGTCGCCCAGTCTTCTGTGTGCCCAGGGGGGAGTCTCTCATCTGGTATCACCCATGGATTGAGGTGCTGGGTTTGGGCCTGCCACTTTTGGACTCTCGCTTGCTGGGTGTTCCAGCG